TATATCATCTTTTATGGCAAACATAACTAAGCCATTTGATGGAGAGAACGCGATGTATCGCTCGGGAAGTGCACGGTTACATGCAGCGGATAGTGGTAAATACTTCGATTTTAAGTCAAACAGCTCTCTTTTCAATTTTATTGTTCCTGATTTTGTAAAAATGTAGTCTTCGTTACAGATATAGATACTGAGTGACGAGTCTTGACCATAAACTGTAATTTCGTTGTCATTTGTTAAAGAAGGAAGCAGTTTATGGAAAGATGATTGGGATGATTCATCGATTACAAGATTTCGGCCAGATTTGGTCGCTATGTTAAACGTAAGTATTTTTCCTTCAAGCATAATTAATAAAATATTACTAATATGGGGATGATGTTGAATTTCTACGATTTTTTCTGATTTATCTAAAGTATGGGATTGAGATTGAGATGTTGGAGCCTGCTTGGCATTCTTTGACGTGATAATTGTAAAGGATGGACCATTAGAATATAGAATTGCAGTGAATATATCTGAACTATTAACAGCCATCCTTGTATATGTACCAGGAACATCTATCTTCCAAAGTATTCGTGAGTTTTTCGCTTGATCTTCAGCTTCATACGGCCAAAAATCGATACTATAAATTGTATTTGGTTCTGCAAAGCCTAAAACGATTTTACGGGACCATTGAAGCTCCGATACATACTGAGCTTCAGATACTTGACGAGTGATTCCGAGTGTAAGACCTGATTCACAATCCCATAACAAAACTCTTCCGCAATCGTCTGAAATTGCAAGATAAGGTAGCTCATAGTGGAATTTAAGGCAAGTTATGTTAGAATTTAGAATTTCAATGGATCATAAGAAAGAAATATCATTTTTAGTAGTTTTATAGAGATAAATTGTGCCTTTACCGGCTAATGCAAGTAGCCCACATGCTTCCCAGTCCATGCTCCCTGTGTTGAACACTTTACTAGGTGGACAAAGTGAAGCAAATCGTATCTTAGCTTTATTAAAAGGATTCGCTTGCATTTTTTTTATAAATTGATATCGTCAAAAATTTTAATTCTACAATGTTTTAAATATATTAATATTTAGTTGTACAGAATCAAATCACATCTACTTGAAAAAAAAAAGGTAGTGGGGCTTCCAGGCGCGTTGCGCCCTCTAGCCCCGAAGATGTTTAGTATAAAACCGCTTTTTAACTTCACTTAAAATGCCACGTAAGCTACGTAAGAATATACGTAAGAGGAAGGGAGCATTGAAACATCCAATAGTAAAACTGACACCACAACAACAGTTGCAACAACAAATGCTGAATGACCCCACTATGTTGCAACAAATGTCAAGCAACCCTATGCTTTTAAACCGAGTTATTGGTGCACAGAGTGGAGGTTTAAGAGCGGCACTTTTAGCGAAAATGGCAGGCTATGGTGGAGCTGCAGACGGAACAGCTTATAACCCTCAAAGTCAAATGAATTTGAGTTCACTCAAAAATCAAATAACAGATGTCAAAAAGTCAAACATAGACATACAGAAACAAATAAGTGAAAACGAAAAGAAACTAGAATATGACAGACACACAAAGAAACTCAATGAGTTAAACGTAGAGAAAAAGAAGAAAGAAGAACAACTGAAAGAACTAAGTACAGAGGAATATGCGAAAAAAGTGTCAGAAAAAGCAGCAGAAGTAGCAAAAATGGAACAAGATGTTATAAATTTGAAAAACCATACTACTCAATATAAAGTACTGAAAGATGAAGAAATAAAACAAAAAGCCCTGAAGACATATATGGATAGCGATGAGTATAAAAAAGAAGTTGAAGCAAATGTAAAGGCAGAAAAACTTTTACAGTTGCAAAACCAAACCGTACAGTATGAAAACTTAGCACAAGAAAGTAAAAATAACGACGCAGCCATGCAAAAGGCAATGAAAAGCGCAGAATATATAAAAGCTAATAATGACTGGTTAGACGCCCAAGCCAACGCTAAAGCAGCCCAACTTATAGGGTCAATAAGGACAAAAATACAAGCGGATGAAGACAGTTCAAATGAAGCTTTAACGAATGCTGACTTTAAGAACGCCTTCGAAGCTCTTCATAGTAAGGTGAAACTAGTGAACGACTTCTCATCTGGAAAGAAACTGAAGTCTGAAGGTTTCGACAAAGAGTTAAAAGAAGTAGCACAAAATATGACGAAAATAACAGATGCAGCAACGAGACAGGCAGTTCAAAGTGCCCATGACGCCGTTAGAACAGCTGTTGTGGAAAGTCAAGAAAAAGAGTTACAACAGACCAAAAGAGACCTAGTAAATGCTTTCTTAAGAACGAAAAGTCAGGTAGGACATTATGCTGCAGATGGAACATATGTGCCAGCTGGTGGAACTTATATACCAGCTGGTGGAACTTATATACTAGCTAGTGGAACTTATATACCACCAAACCCTCCAAGAGAAGCACCTGCACCAGGACTACCTAAAACATTTACATCGTCACATGGACACAGACACAGGCATGCACCAAAACCAACACAACAACCAACAGTTCAAAATCCAGCACACAACAACAACAACAACCAGCACAACAACCACCTCCACAACCAGCACAGCAAACCAACAGTTCAAAACCCTGCACAACAACCACCTCCACAACCAGCACAGCAACCAACAGTTCAAAACCCTGCACAACAACCACCTCCACAACCAGCACAACAACCACAAACAGAGCAAGGACATAAAAGAAGTAGAGAACAAGGAAACCAAGATTTCTTAAAAATGCTTAAGGAAGAATATGGTTACCCAGATACTCTTGACTTTAGTGACAGATATAAAGAAGCTATTAGAAAGTTCAAGGAAGGAAATACAGACCGAACCTATTTAGCTTTATGGTTCAGCACCAAATGGGATATAATTTCAAACCTGGAAAATACAAGCTCGCTAAGGGATATGATTTAATAGCATATCATCCAAATGACATGAACGAATTTACTCCGAGATATTTGGTGTCAGAGCTAAATGACAATTCAACTCTCTTCATGAAACGCGTAAAAAATAGAGACGGAACGAAAGAAGAAAGGTTTATGAGTCCGGATGACTTAGATAGGGAACTTTTTTAAAAACGGTCTCGGAATATATGAAATGCCAGCAGATGAGGTACAAGAAACTCAACAGGAAGAAGTTCAGATACAACCAGACATGGAAGAAATAGTTCAGCAACAACAGCTAGAAGAGCCTGAAGGAAACGAACAAGTCCCTCCTTTGGAAACTAACCTCACAGAACTAGATGAAGATTTGGAACAGCCGAAAAATCTTGACCCTCAACAAGAGTATGAGGTGAATATGGAATCTTTCCAAGAGTCTAAAAAAATTCGGCTGACATAGTAGAAGAATATCGAAAAATGTTTGCCGACATACAAAAGACTCCAACATCAGATGAAAATATTCAGCATAGAATGGAAGTACTGAAAGATAATGTACGCAAATACAACAATCCTTTTTACTTACGACCATATAACGTTCAATCTTTGGCTGAACTCGGTGAAAATAAAAGGTTAAATTTCAACAAAACATATAGAAATGAAACATTGTTTAAAGTTCATTCAGAACCTAACCAATATGGAAACAAACCTACTTTTGTTTCTGCAGACTATGGAACTACAATGAGATGGGGTCATAAAGCTAATCCGGATAGGTGGTTCATAAACTTACAACCACAATTCCAAGAAGTTGTAGACGCAATGGAAGTGAATGGTGAACCAGATATAGCTGGTATTTTCAGCGCGGCTTTAATGCCATTGAAAGATATGAAAGATGCAGATATTTTGAACCAGTATGAAATGAACATGGCTGATGGAAATATAACACCTGACGTTCTAAAACATTTATCTCAAAGAACTACACAGAACCATAGAGATGGTATATTTGGTGAAGAGTTTAGAAAGACAGTTAGGGAGAGAGAAGGAAGAGAACCTATTGTACATGACCTTGCAAACGAAAGTTTACAAAATGTCATAAAAACTTACTTTGCAGACAATGAACCGAGAAGGGATGAATATTTAAGAAAACTCAAATGGACAGTACCAAATGAAATGTTAGTATTGAAAAACATGTTCCTTGACAAAATAAAACCAACTACAGAAATAAATGACGAAAGACTGAAACATTGGGTAAAAGCTTTCCCATTCACAAAAGATATTATTGGTAACATGGAAAGAAAACCAGAATGGCTACAAAAACATATATTTGGAAACGAGCTTATTCCATATGGACAAGCTCTGTTTGAAGAGCTTGAACCGGAAACTCAGGAAAGAGTCATGCAAACAATACGCGAAGACTCAAATACAAACTATGACAAAATCTTTCTAGGATATAGGTTACCTGAGATGGGCGACCAGAGCCCAAAGGCAAAAAGGACATGGGAAATTTACAACATACTAGGTGAACATGAGGCAAAGATGCAACAACTTGAAGCAGAGGGCAAGTTACCAAAAGCGACACCAAAGAAGAAGAGAAGAGTAGAACAAAGTGAAAGTAGTGAAGAAGTAACTTCATCTAGTGAAAGTAGTGGCAATGAAGGAAAAAGAAGAGTTAAAAACTCAGTCAGGAAGAAAGTAAAGCTTGGTCCGAGTGGGTTCTATTATGACATATAAATCCAACTATTCTATATTTTTACCCATATGAAATGTACGCCGCTCAGAATATAACGCCAACAGTTTTGGATGCCATGAATGGAAATGTTTCCGAATGGTATAACGAATGCGACAATGCCATTAGAAGGTCAGAAATAGTTCCTGGAACTTACGAATATACAACTGCTGTTTCTTATGGAAACGTAGGTGAGTTTGGAGAAGGTTCTTCAACAACAGTAGATATTGCTTGCGACAGGTTTCATATTATTTCTATTGACAACTCTTTCTTATACGTGGAACAAGACATTGAAATAAAACCTTCTGCCAAGTTGTCTGAAAAGAAAGGTTGCAATGGAATTTTCTATGTCGGATACCAATATGCTCCAGAAGTTTTCATGGGATATAAGATATATTCTAACTCTGACTTAGTTCAAACAGTAACATGGGCAAACTATGAATGGTTCGCTTTAAGAAACTCAGTACAACCACAAGCTAGAGAACAAACAGACCAGTATGCAACTATTGAGAAAATAAGAAGACTTGACCCTAACGTTCCAGGAGTTTATGTTAACCTTTCTGGTTCAGATGGAACTGCTGCCACTAAAGTAAAACTGAAACTTAGAGTTCCTTTGTCATCTTTCCTCATCTTCAGGTTTTTAAGATACTTGCCAAACTGGGCAGGAAAAATTTCTATCGAACTTACTCCAAGCAAAAATAACTTAGTCATTGCACCAACACAAGACCCATTCACTCTTACAGACGTAAAGGGAACAAATAAAACGTCATTCGCCGAATTTTGCAAAGACAAAGTTGACTTAGACTTTGGTTTCTCAAACCTCAACACTGAAGTAAACTATTATTTCAATGCTGCTGGAGATGCTTGGGACCCAGTTAAGTTCACATGCGAAAAATTTGAATGCAAGAGAATAGAAAGCAGACTTGCAGTCTATATGTTGGACCCAGATATTTCAAATGCTTTAGCTGCCAAATATATTGCAGTTCCACTTATGTTCCCTATACACCAAATATCTGTCAAAGACTTTGCAGGTGAAGTTGGAAACCAAAGTGCTGACCCAGGTGCAAGAACAGATATTGCCTTAACAACTGCAATGAAACATGCAGATACTATGTTTGTTCTTTTCAGACGAACTATAAATGACTATTCTTGTTTCTACAACCCTGGTATTAAATATCATATAAACATAGATGGCAAATATTATCCAAGAGAAGAATATTCTACAGTTGAGGATATGAGGTCATACAACTTGACATTAGATGCTATGAACTTTAACAACAACTTCACAACAACCATTAACCCTGAAATGCAAAGTTCTATTATGCCATATGTGAAAGTATGGACCCATACAGGAGGTCAAAAAACTCAATATACAAATGGAGACCGTTCAAACTTTTGGCTTGGCATTCCATTTGCTGACTCAGAAGACTTTATGGGTGGTATTTCAACTGTTGGTACAGTTCAAATACAATATACTGGTGACAGAGACGGTCCAGATGAATTGAAAGCAAAGAAGTTTACAAAACCAATAGCACTTTTCACGGAAGATGCTCTTTTGAAAATTCGTTCGATGAAACCTGCTGGGGCTCCTCAGATTGGCATAACGACAGCTTCCATCGAGCAGATTTTGGCAGCAGGTCAGTAAGTTGTTCTTGAACTGACTTCTCTCCGTCAAATATTGACAGTACGCCAGTTTTGACATAATATTGTATTATAAACTTTCCTTTAGAAATATCTGTAAGTTTTGAAGTTATATTTTTGTCTGCTTCAAGAACTTTCACCATTTCAGTTATACCAACTTTCTTTGCTTTATGAAAATATTTAGGTTCAGCAAAGACTGCTATTCTATAACATTTTCCATTGTTTGTGTAAAGAACTATTCTGTCAATGTATTTGTATTGTTTGTGTGTGTAAACTTTGTTTTGCTTCAATTCGAAGAGATATCTGAATACGTCCATCTTTTTATTCTAAGTAAAATGTCATTTCCGAAAAATAGAAGTGTAAGTGTTTCAAAAGGTTTAATGGCGGTGGCAGATGTGAAGTTAAATTCACCAACTCAAACAAACAGTCAAAGTGTTGTTGTCAATGTCAAAGACAGAGATGTTGAAGTGGGGAAACCATACGAAGACGAAGATGGTATAACAATAGTTCCTGTAAAAGAACAACCAACATATCCTGAAGTTAGCAGAGACTTAAGTTCTGTTGCAGATATTCGAAACGACTACCAACAACTGAAAGACAAACTTAAAACTCAGGAGAAGATTTGTCAAGCTTTAAGTATAATGTTAAACTTGGTCGAACACAACCCTGTAAAAGTGAACTCATATGTCATTGCACCTCATGAAGTTTTGAAAGAACTATTGAAACTTTTGACAGAGGCAGACGATATAAACATCAAAGAAATAGAACCCGACATTAGTTGCTGTGGTGTTTCATATAATGTCATTGACAAGATATACGTTATGAAAGGAGGTGAAACGTTGAACTTAAAATATAGTTTCCCAGACGTTATAAAAATATTTGACGACCACAACATTTCATTAAAATTTATTTGCTAAGTAAATGGCAGAAGACATAATGGTTTATACTATTACGACTAAAAACCCTGAGTCATATAATTCTATAACAACAAACTTACAAAGTCCTCAAGGACGATATTGTAAACTAACCTTAAACACAATGACGACTAAAGCCTGTTTTGCTCTTTTGACACCAGAAGACTTTATTGTTGTGAATGGTAAAAAATACTCCTTTGAAGATACTTACTCAGATATACCACCAACAGGTTTTGTTGACTTATTTAATACTTTAAGGACGGGTGTAACATGTGCTGCAACTAGAGCAGGTTTCATTATGTTTGGATGTCCGACTGAGTTTACTATAAACGATATGAGTTATAATACAAAACTTATATCTGGTTTTTACTACCAACAGTTTCCTATAACAGGAAAAGGTGTCATACAAGGAATGTCTGTTCCATTGACTTTAAGCACACCAATCTTATATATTGTTTCAAACTTAGGTTCAAAGTGTTATTCGAATGTCGACAGAAACTATTATGACCAAAAGATACTTATGCGTATAAACAATACTTTCTCTGCTGGTTTGCCTATTGTTCATTCGAATGCAGAGTTTTCAGCTTTAGTAAACTCAAACACTTTAGCAAACATAAACTTAACCTTAGTTGACGCAAACTTTGTTCCTGTAAAACTTTTATGTCCTATGTATTTGTCAATGACGGCAGAAAGTTTCGAATTGGAAGATGCAACTGGTGAAAGTATTGTATTACAAGAACAACTTCAACAACAAATAGCTCAAGAACAACAAATGCAACAAATGGAACAAATGGAACAACAAGCTCAAGAATAAAAAAATATTTTTTTTTATTTTTATAAAAAAATGTACAGAATAGATGTTTCAGATTTTTATGACTTCCAAGCATTCAGAAATATGTGTCCATTTCGAGACTATAACAAAGCAGTCGAGAATTTGAAACGTTTAGTCATTTATGTTGACTCTGCCCCAGAATGTTATGTCATGAAAGAATGGGATGTTGTCTTTAACAAACCAAGAGCAACAATAGTGTCTGAACAAGAATGTAGACAGAAACTTAAGAAAATAAAAGTTGTACAAGTTGGAAGGAAGATGTTAGATGCTTGGGATATCTTATTGTCAAAGTTAGAAGATTTTTCAGTTCGAGGTATAAAGTTCTATACACCATCTCCAAACTTCTATTCTATCTTCACTGGATATAAATACGAACAAGTAGAATGGACTTTCAAAGTTAACGCTCCAGAGGATCATAATAAGACAAAGTTACTTGTTGTTGTTGAGTTCGCCGCCAATCATAAATCCAACTTAGGTACCGGTAATGTTACATATTCTTCCACAGTCCCCACACCAGTTATCGAGAGTGTTCAATACAACGATGGCAACGAAGTAATTTCAGGCAATCCATACACAGCCAAAATCATACTCGAAACAGGCTTAAATATTACAAAGACATATTATCTCTTTGCAACAGAAAGCGAAGCTTCCAACGCCTCTGCCACTAGCGTCAAAACATCACAAAATGTTAGCACTGCAACAGCCGTAGCAAGCACGAACAAGACAGAATGGACTTTCAAAGTTAACGCTCCAGAGGATCATAATAAGACAAAGTTACTTGTTGTTGTTGAGTTCGCCGCCAATCATACATCCGAGTTAGGTACCGGCAATGTTACATATTCTGACACACTCTCCACACCAGTTATCGATAGAGTTCTTTACAACGATGGCAACGAAGTAATTTCAGGCAATTTATACTCAGCCAAAATCATACTCAAAAGTAACTTAACAATTACAAAGACATATTATCTCTTTGCAACAGAAAGCAACGCTTCCAGCGCCTCTGTCACTAGCGTCAAAACATCACAAAATGTTAGCACTGCAACAGCCGTAGCAAGCACGAACAAGACAGAATGGACTTTCAAAGTTAACGCTCCAGAGGATCATAATAAGACAAAGTTACTTGTTGTTGTTGAGTTCGCCGCCAATCATACATCCGAGTTAGGTACCGGCAATGTTACATATTCTGACACACTCTCCACACCAGTTATCGATAGAGTTCTTTACAACGATGGCAACGAAGTAATTTCAGGCAATTTATACTCAGCCAAAATCATACTCAAAAATAACTTAACAATTACAAAGACATATTATCTCTTTGCAACAGAAAGCAACGCTTCCAGCGCCTCTGTCACTAGCGTCAAAACATCACAAAATGTTAGCACTGCAACAGCCGTAGCAAGCACGAACAAGACAGAATGGACTTTCAAAGTTAACGCTCCAGAGGATCATAATAAGACAAAGTTACTTGTTGTTGTTGAGTTCGCCGCCAATCATACATCCGAGTTAGGTACCGGCAATGTTACATATTCTGACACACTCTCCACACCAGTTATCGATAGAGTTCTTTACAACGATGGCAACGAAGTAATTTCAGGCAATTTATACTCAGCCAAAATCATACTCAAAAATAACTTAACAATTACAAAGACATATTATCTCTTTGCAACAGAAAGCAACGCTTCCAGCGCCTCTGTCACTAGCGTCAAAACATCACAAAATGTTAGCACTGCAACAGCCGTAGCAAGCACGAACAAGACAGAATGGACTTTCAAAGTTAACGCTCCAGAGGATCATAATAAGACAAAGTTACTTGTTGTTGTTGAGTTCGCCGCCAATCATACATCCGAGTTAGGTACCGGCAATGTTACATATTCTGACACACTCTCCACACCAGTTATCGATAGAGTTCTTTACAACGATGGCAACGAAGTAATTTCAGGCAATTTATACTCAGCCAAAATCATACTCAAAAGTAACTTAACAATTACAAAGACATATTATCTCTTTGCAACAGAAAGCAACGCTTCCAGCGCCTCTGTCACTAGCGTCAAAACATCACAAAATGTTAGCACTGCAACAGCCGTAGCAAGCACGAACAAGACAGAATGGACTTTCAAAGTTAACGCTCCAGAGGATCATAATAAGACAAAGTTACTTGTTGTTGTTGAGTTCGCCGCCAATCATACATCCGAGTTAGGTACCGGCAATGTTACATATTCTGACACACTCTCCACACCAGTTATCGATAGAGTTCTTTACAACGATGGCAACGAAGTAATTTCAGGCAATTTATACTCAGCCAAAATCATACTCAAAAAACTTAACAATTACAAAGACATATTATCTCTTTGCAACAGAAAGCAACGCTTCCAGCGCCTCTGTCACTAGCGTCAAAACATCACAAAATGTTAGCACTGCAACAGCCGTAGCAAGCACGAACAAGACAGAATGGACTTTCAAAGTTAACGCTCCAGAGGATCATAATAAGACAAAGTTACTTGTTGTTGTTGAGTTCGCCGCCAATCATACATCCGAGTTAGGTACCGGCAATGTTACATATTCTGACACACTCTCCACACCAGTTATCGATAGAGTTCTTTACAACGATGGCAACGAAGTAATTTCAGGCAATTTATACTCAGCCAAAATCATACTCAAAAATAACTTAACAATTACAAAGACATATTATCTCTTTGCAACAGAAAGCAACGCTTCCAGCGCCTCTGTCACTAGCGTCAAAACATCACAAAATGTTAGCACTGCAACAGCCGTAGCAAGCACGAACAAGACAGAATGGACTTTCAAAGTTAACGCTCCAGAGGATCATAATAAGACAAAGTTACTTGTTGTTGTTGAGTTCGCCGCCAATCATACATCCGAGTTAGGTACCGGCAATGTTACATATTCTGACACACTCTCCACACCAGTTATCGATAGAGTTCTTTACAACGATGGCAACGAAGTAATTTCAGGCAATTTATACTCAGCCAAAATCATACTCAAAAATAACTTAACAATTACAAAGACATATTATCTCTTTGCAACAGAAAGCAACGCTTCCAGCGCCTCTGTCACTAGCGTCAAAACATCACAAAATGTTAGCACTGCAACAGCCGTAGCAAGCACGAACAAGACAGAATGGACTTTCAAAGTTAACGCTCCAGAGGATCATAATAAGACAAAGTTACTTGTTGTTGTTGAGTTCGCCGCCAATCATACATCCGAGTTAGGTACCGGCAATGTTACATATTCTGACACACTCTCCACACCAGTTATCGATAGAGTTCTTTACAACGATGGCAACGAAGTAATTTCAGGCAATTTATACTCAGCCAAAATCATACTCAAAAATAACTTAACAATTACAAAGACATATTATCTCTTTGCAACAGAAAGCAACGCTTCCAGCGCCTCTGTCACTAGCGTCAAAACATCACAAAATGTTAGCACTGCAACAGCCGTAGCAAGCACGAACAAGACAGAATGGACTTTCAAAGTTAACGCTCCAGAGGATCATAATAAGACAAAGTTACTTGTTGTTGTTGAGTTCGCCGCCAATCATACATCCGAGTTAGGTACCGGCAATGTTACATATTCTGACACACTCTCCACACCAGTTATCGATAGAGTTCTTTACAACGATGGCAACGAAGTAATTTCAGGCAATTTATACTCAGCCAAAATCATACTCAAAAATAACTTAACAATTACAAAGACATATTATCTCTTTGCAACAGAAAGCAACGCTTCCAGCGCCTCTGTCACTAGCGTCAAAACATCACAAAATGTTAGCACTGCAACAGCCGTAGCAAGCACGAACAAGACAGAATGGACTTTCAAAGTTAACGCTCCAGAGGATCATAATAAGACAAAGTTACTTGTTGTTGTTGAGTTCGCCGCCAATCATACATCCGAGTTAGGTACCGGCAATGTTACATATTCTGACACACTCTCCACACCAGTTATCGATAGAGTTCTTTACAACGATGGCAACGAAGTAATTTCAGGCAATTTATACTCAGCCAAAATCATACTCAAAAATAACTTAACAATTACAAAGACATATTATCTCTTTGCAACAGAAAGCAACGCTTCCAGCGCCTCTGTCACTAGCGTCAAAACATCACAAAATGTTAGCACTGCAACAGCCGTAGCAAGCACGAACAAGACAGAATGGACTTTCAAAGTTAACGCTCCAGAGGATCATAATAAGACAAAGTTACTTGTTGTTGTTGAGTTCGCCGCCAATCATACATCCGAGTTAGGTACCGGCAATGTTACATATTCTGACACACTCTCCACACCAGTTATCGATAGAGTTCTTTACAACGATGGCAACGAAGTAATTTCAGGCAATTTATACTCAGCCAAAATCATACTCAAAAATAACTTAACAATTACAAAGACATATTATCTCTTTGCAACAGAAAGCAACGCTTCCAGCGCCTCTGTCACTAGCGTCAAAACATCACAAAATGTTAGCACTGCAACAGCCGTAGCAAGCACGAACAAGACAGAATGGACTTTCAAAGTTAACGCTCCAGAGGATCATAATAAGACAAAGTTACTTGTTGTTGTTGAGTTCGCCGCCAATCATACATCCGAGTTAGGTACCGGCAATGTTACATATTCTGACACACTCTCCACACCAGTTATCGATAGAGTTCTTTACAACGATGGCAACGAAGTAATTTCAGGCAATTTATACTCAGCCAAAATCATACTCAAAAATAACTTAACAATTACAAAGACATATTATCTCTTTGCAACAGAAAGCAACGCTTCCAGCGCCTCTGTCACTAGCGTCAAAACATCACAAAATGTTAGCACTGCAACAGCCGTAGCAAGCACGAACAAGACAGAATGGACTTTCAAAGTTAACGCTCCAGAGGATCATAATAAGACAAAGTTACTTGTTGTTGTTGAGTTCGCCGCCAATCATACATCCGAGTTAGGTACCGGCAATGTTACATATTCTGACACACTCTCCACACCAGTTATCGATAGAGTTCTTTACAACGATGGCAACGAAGTAATTTCAGGCAATTTATACTCAGCCAAAATCATACTCAAAATAACTTAACAATTACAAAGACATATTATCTCTTTGCAACAGAAAGCAACGCTTCCAGCGCCTCTGTCACTAGCGTCAAAACATCACAAAATGTTAGCACTGCAACAGCCGTAGCAAGCACGAACAAGACAGAATGGACTTTCAAAGTTAACGCTCCAGAGGATCATAATAAGACAAAGTTACTTGTTGTTGTTGAGTTCGCCGCCAATCATACATCCGAGTTAGGTACCGGCAATGTTACATATTCTGACACACTCTCCACACCAGTTATCGATAGAGTTCTTTACAACGATGGCAACGAAGTAATTTCAGGCAATTTATACTCAGCCAAAATCATACTCAAAAGTAACTTAACAATTACAAAGACATATTATCTCTTTGCAACAGAAAGCAACGCTTCCAGCGCCTCTGTCACTAGCGTCAAAACATCACAAAATGTTAGCACTGCAACAGCCGTAGCAAGCACGAACAAGACAGAATGGACTTTCAAAGTTAACGCTCCAGAGGATCATAATAAGACAAAGTTACTTGTTGTTGTTGAGTTCGCCGCCAATCATACATCCGAGTTAGGTACCGGCAATGTTACATATTCTGACACACTCTCCACACCAGTTATCGATAGAGTTCTTTACAACGATGGCAACGAAGTAATTTCAGGCAATTTATACTCAGCCAAAATCATACTCAAAAATAACTTAACAATTACAAAGACATATTATCTCTTTGCAACAGAAAGCAACGCTTCCAGCGCCTCTGTCACTAGCGTCAAAACATCACAAAATGTTAGCACTGCAACAGCCGTAGCAAGCACGAACAAGACAGAATGGACTTTCAAAGTTAACGCTCCAGAGGATCATAATAAGACAAAGTTACTTGTTGTTGTTGAGTTCGCCGCCAATCATACATCCGAGTTAGGTACCGGCAATGTTACATATTCTGACACACTCTCCACACCAGTTATCGATAGAGTTCTTTACAACGATGGCAACGAAGTAATTTCAGGCAATTTATACTCAGCCAAAATCATACTCAAAAATAACTTAACAATTACAAAGACATATTATCTCTTTGCAACAGAAAGCAACGCTTCCAGCGCCTCTGTCACTAGCGTCAAAACATCACAAAATGTTAGCACTGCAACAGCCGTAGCAAGCACGAACAAGACAGAATGGACTTTCAAAGTTAACGCTCCAGAGGATCATAATAAGACAAAGTTACTTGTTGTTGTTGAGTTCGCCGCCAATCATACATCCGAGTTAGGTACCGGCAATGTTACATATTCTGACACACTCTCCACACCAGTTATCGATAGAGTTCTTTACAACGATGGCAACGAAGTAATTTCAGGCAATTTATACTCAGCCAAAATCATACTCAAAATAACTTAACAATTACAAAGACATATTATCTCTTTGCAACAGAAAGCAACGCTTCCAGCGCCTCTGTCACTAGCGTCAAAACATCACAAAATGTTAGCACTGCAACAGCCGTAGCAAGCACGAACAAGACAGAATGGACTTTCAAAGTTAACGCTCCAGAGGATCATAATAAGACAAAGTTACTTGTTGTTGTTGAGTTCGCCGCCAATCATACATCCGAGTTAGGTACCGGCAATGTTACATATTCTCTTGGAAAGTCTCCATATTTATCTGCGCCAACTGTTGTTGCTGAAAATCATACAGGACCATTCAAGGCCGGTGAATATATTCCAGTTAAAGTTACATTACAACACTTTGAGGCAAAGACAGGAAACTTCCAATATAGATTCTATGCAGATCAGAAATGGATAGATCTCCCAGACGACAATGTAACTGAAGTAGAAACCCCATCTGCAATTAAGAAATTACATGCCGACGAAGGCAAAACATATCTACTCAACATTCCAGCTCCAAAGTATGAAGATATCAAAGAAGATGGGAAAGTTAAACTTCAAATTAGGTTAGCTGGATCCAAAGATCAAGCTCAATCCAATATCATTGAAACAGAGGTTTCACTTCAGAAACAACAATACGTTGCACCAAGCCCTGATGATTCCAAGCCAACTCCAACACCTGAAAATAGTGGACTTACTGGTGGACAGAAGGCTGGTATTGTTATTGGCGTTCTTCTTGCTGTTATCCTTATTATTCTCATCATCTACTTCGTTTTCTGCAGGAAACCATCTAAAGATAAATCATCATCTGATATCCAAGATGATTCCGGCTCCGGTGTTAATGTGTAATTTAATTTAATTAAGGATGTCAATTTGGAAGAAAAGTGAGAAAATTCCTAAAATGCTAAAAATGAATTTTCCAAACGTACTTTTTTATCTCATTTTTTTTGATTTTGAAAAAAATTTGGAGAGAAGAACTCTTCGTTTTTGAATTTTGTCACGATGGTTTTAAAGTATAGGGTGTCCAAAGGTGTGTTTAGCACAAACCTGAATACTGCGAATAGAAATAAACAAGTTACATATATATAAAGTTTATTTAAATATAATCACCATTGGATTCAATCACGCGTTCGCAGCGATCGATCCAGGCTTGAAAGACACGCTTTAAATCATCATGAGAAAATTGCTCAAATTGCTCTCTTACAAAATTTTCAAGATCATCTGGACTCGCGAATTCGCGTCCTTCAGCTCTCTTTTTTAGCGTGCCGAATAAATAAAAGTCAGAGGGTGCAATATCAGGTGAATAAATTGGGTTTGGAACAACTTTGACATTGTTTTCCACCAAGTAATTCATTACCTTATGACTTTTGTGAACTCTTGAATTATCAAAATGAATTGCAAACTTTTGTTTTTGTTGTTTGGATTTCTCAAACTCATCAGAATTGATAATTTGAGTAAGAACATTGTCAATTAGATACTGAGCATTCATCGTATTAGGTTTTTGAAGAATATCAATTGCGATGATGTCATTTACGCCCCAAAAAACCGACAACATCATCATTGGTGTGTCAATTTTTTTCTTCGGGAATGTTTGCGGATTTTTCTCGTAAACGAAAAAGGGGATTTGACGGAGTCAAATCCCCGCTCGCAAAAAGTGGACTTTACATGTCAAATTTTATATGCATGTAATGTCCACTTTTATGAGTTTTAGGAAGGAATTGGAAGCCATGAGTTACTGACATTTCATCAGTATCTCATAGCCTCCAATTCCTTCTTAAAATGGGAGAAACTTTGTCCGAATAGTTTAACATTCGGACAAAGTTTCTCCCATTTTAAGAAGGAATTGGAGGGTAAGAGATATACCATATGAATGTATATCTCTTACCCTCCAATTCCTTCTAGAAAGTGTCCAAACTTTGGGTTAATTGCAAACTATTAACCCAAAGTTTGGACACTTTCAAGTGGAGATGGAAGGCTTTGGGGTATATATTAATACAATATACCTCAAAGCCTTCCATCTCCACTACAAATGGGAGAAACTTTGTCCGAATAGTTTAACATTCGGACAAAGTTTCTCCCATCTTTCAATGTAATTGCTACCTGTGAGGTACTGACTTGAAGTCAGTGCTTCACAGGTAGCAATATCCAAAAATTTAAAAACATTTTATCAGTTCGTTAAAGAACTAGAGCCTCCTAGGTACTGAACCAGAATCAGTGCCTAGGGGACTCTAGTGATCTATATAAATCTGAGAAACTTTGAGGAAATTGTTCGACATTTCCTCAAAGTTTCTCAGCAATTTAGCGAGGAATGTTCGTTATCGTGTAGATATTTATAATATATACATGATAACAAACATTCTCCGCTAAAAGATGTAAAATCTTATAAGAAATGATTGCAAAAGAATAACAAATTGCAACAAATTTTATATGAAACTGAACCTTATGAGGTAGTGATTCAAGATCACCGCCTCATAAGATTCAGTTTCAATCTCAAGTATCTCAAAAGTAAGGCTCTATTTTTTGCCATGTAAAGTGTCACTTTACTGTCAAACCGTTTTTATCGTTTTCGTTTACAACATTTTCATCCTTCGGGATCCATATGATTTTGGCTTCTGTTGCATATTGAAACCAAGACTCGTCCCCTGTTACTAAAAAGCGAAACTTCTTGGATTGATACGCACCCAATATAGAGAGGAGCTCTTTCGAAGATTGGACTCTAGATTTTTTTTGAACTGAATTAAGGTTGTGCGGAACCCAACGTGTATACGCTAGTTTGTAGTTCAAATAATTGTGCAGATAATAACTGACTGTTGTACGTGGTATCTTTGTCATCTCCTCTATCCTTCTAAGTGATGCTCTTGGGTCTTCATCTAGCGCTTGAAGAATTGCTTTGATTTTTCTTTGATCCGGCGATTTTTTGTCAATTTTTATGATGGGCGCCTTTTTGTTCATGAAGTGATACATCCTAACATGATACGTTACAGTGGAATAGCTAGGAGCATCCATACCGAAGCATTTTACCAATGTCTCGTAGATTTTTTTACAGTCTTTGCATTTTTTGCAAGAGCGAGGATGTTTTCTTTATGATTCATTAAAAAAATGAAAAAAATCCCGCCAAAATTTCCCGCGAAACCGCCTCTTGTCTCAAAATTCATTTTATATCCCGGCATGGCGCCAAAATACAACATACTCATCATATACATATATTCATATTTTTTATTATATATTTATAATCAGCATATATCTCCTTTAATAGTCTCATATAGAGCGCTGTGCTAAACGCACCTTTGGACACCCTATATATTATACACATGTATTGATATTACTATTTTTGTATATTTTAAGAGAAAATTATATTCTCCTAAAGTGAAAACAATTTTCCAAATTGCAGCTCCTTCAAAGATTTCTGAAGACTCAACGGTTAAAATTACAGTTTCTATCACAGATCCAGCTGGTCAAACTGCTACCTCTTTATATTAATATAATATTTATTTTGATATATTTTTTAGTTTAACTTTTTTTCTTTGATAAATATTTTATTTTATATTTTAAACCCTTTATTTTTTAATTAAATCATGTCTTGTAAATCAAATTACAACATGGCAAACTTTTGATTCGATATATATAGTTTACGTAACAAGTGATAGCTCCATTAGAAAGCTGAGTTTTGAAAATTACAATACATAGCATATCATTTCCAGACTTTCCCACTTTATTTTTTTTTATTTTTTTTTAAAATGTTTCGTAATTTCAGGATGCTTTTCCCCTTTAACTTTGTTAAATGCGTAATTTTTTTCTATCTGACAACTGGCTTGAAAGATCATTGAAAATGCGATATAAACAATTTCATTTTTTTTCGACTTTTTTTTATAAATAAAGAAAATAAATATACAAATAAAATTATTTCTTAATTATTTTGTCATATTTGACAATTATATCCTGTCTCAAAGTATCCAAATCCGCAAACTGTGTTGCGTATCTCGAAGTGTCTTCGTCGTACGGCTTAATTACATCAGCCCTATCCAAGAACATCATCAAATGAAACGCGAGAGCTTTGTATTTTATCTGCATCAAAATTGCCAAAGCAGGATGGAAATCTCTTATTGATATGAACAGCAACAAAGCGTTCATTGCATTTCCAGTATCCAAGAAGTGGTGGGCGGCTCTTCTCAACAAACTCTTCGACTCATTCGAAAACTCTTCCAATTTGCAGACTTCGACAGAATCTTCCCATCTTCCGTTGTCCTGAAGATATCTTGCGGCAGAAAGATTAGCGCCAGCTAAATGCATCAATATACAGCCTTCTATAAATCTGTGCTGTGCAAAAAGTGGAACAGCGGTTGTTATCAAAAATTCTGTCACGTTTTGTGGCAAAATTTTATCTTCGTAACCGAGAAGCAACGCCGAACAAATGCTTGCCACTATTGTGAACTCGCTTTTGTTGGAGAGACTCTTGAAAACTTCGACAGCTCCTCTTCTATCACCCATTCTGAACTTGAACAACAAGTTGAAAATGGCAGAAATCGGAGTATCTGCAGGAGAAAACAGAGAAGATTGAATCCTCAACGCGGAAACAACTTCTTCTTTCCCTCCAAACATGGAATGTGCTTGCAACCTCGGACCTCCCAAACTACGTGAAACACACTTCCAAATAATGGAATCAGTTGGAAATCCATGGTCATTAGCTATCTCAGCTATTTGAAGTGCTTCTGACCATGTTCCTGTAGTAGGATTCGTTAATAATTGCTCACCCATAAGCTCTAACCGTTGCTGGGCGGTTTTTAGCGGTTTTAAGAGGGCAGGTGAAGTGATTCTTTTTACAGATCTCCAGTCTCTTGCAATAACGAATTTCACGGCTTCGTCATTGAGCGGGGAGACGAGGACGAGTCCATTTCCTGTTACAGCGAATGAGGAAACAGAAAAAGGACAACTTTCCACTTTTTCAAGTGAAAAACCAAATTTTCCGTCTCTCGCGTGTACGTACAATCCGCTGGATGATCTCTCGAACTCTATCCTGTCTATGTCGATGAAAGGAGAGTATGTTTGCTTCGATGTACCGAAAGCAAAGTCGTAAAACATAATTACGCCGTCTGTGTCAGCAGTTATGATGCAATCGCCTTTCCAAGCAAGACAAGTTGTCCTGGAGTTCTCCCGTGAGTTACGCAGCCTCAGAACAGGCATCTGTGCTATGCCGTTCTTGTATGTGTAGACTTGGATTTCTCCGGTAGATAATAATACGGCGAAATTGGGAGTATCGCCTTGGAAACATGTTGCTGGTATTCTGGATACTTGGACTGCAACAGCGGTGATGGATGTTTGAAGAGTCATCGGCTTTTGTTTGACATCATAAAAAATACCAAGGTCGTATTTGCCGTGGACGAAAACGCCGAGCTCCTCTGAACATATTAGGTCTGTGGCAGGGCCAAGGCGAGTGTGGATTGGAATAACTTGGCGCTTGGGAAGATTTATTGATCCACACTCGGTTTTTGAGTACCACAGAAGGACATCTTTGGTAAGGAACTTGATCTTTTCAATGGATGTGCTGGATGCAAGGTAGTTCTGTGTGTATTTCCCTTCTGAAACGTCTGCGAAAATTATCTTTCCGGTTGGAGTGCCGAAAGCAAGGATTCCGTCGTAGAAATCGTAACAGGTTGGTATCTGTGGTATAATTTGAGACTGCGCGATGACGTAAGGTATATCATCTTTTATGGCAAACATAACTAAGCCATTTGATGGAGAGAACGCGATGTATCGCTCGGGAAGTGCACGGTTACATGCAGCGGATAGTGGTAAATACTTCGAATTTAAGTCAAACAGCTCTCTTTTCAATTTTATTGTTCCTGATTTTGTAAAAATGTAGTCTTCGTTACAGATATAGATACTGAGTGACGAGTCTTGACCATAAACTGTAATTTCGTTGTCATTTGTTAAAGAAGGAAGCAGTTTATGGAAAGATGATTGGGATGATTCATCGATTACAAGATTTCGGCCAGATTTGGTCGCTATGTTAAACGTAAGTATTTTTCCTTCAAGCATAATTAATAAAATATTACTAATATGGGGATGATGTTGAATTTCTACGATTTTTTCTGATTTATCTAAAGTATGGGATTGAGATTGAGATGTTGGAGCCTGCTTGGCATTCTTTGACGTGATAATTGTAAAGGATGGACCATTAGAATATAGAATTGCAGTGAATATATCTGAACTATTAACAGCCATCCTTGTATATGTACCAGGAACATCTATCTTCCAAAGTATTCGTGAGTTTTTCGCTTGATCTTCAGCTTCATACGGCCAAAAATCGATACTATAAATTGTATTTGGTTCTGCAAAGCCTAAAACGATTTTACGGGACCATTGAAGCTCCGATACATACTGAGCTTCAGATACTTGACGAGTGATTCCGAGTGTAAGACCTGATTCACAATCCCATAACAAAACTCTTCCGCAATCGTCTGAAATTGCAAGATAAGGTAGCTCATAGTGGAATTTAAGGCAAGTTATGTTAGAATTTAGAATTTCAATGGATCATAAGAAAGAAATATCATTTTTAGTAGTTTTATAGAGATAAATTGTGCCTTTACCGGCTAATGCAAGTAGCCCACATGCTTCCCAGTCCATGCTCCCTGTGTTGAACACTTTACTAGGTGGACAAAGTGAAGCAAATCGTATCTTAGCTTTATTAAAAGGATTCGCTTGCATTTTTTTTATAAATTGATATCGTCAAAAATTTTAATTCTACAATGTTTTAAATATATTAATATTTAGTTGTACAGAATCAAATCACATCTACTTGAAAAAAAAAAGGTAGTGGGGCTTCCAGGCGCGTTGCGCCCTCTAGCCCCGAAGATGTTTAGTATAAAACCGCTTTTTAACTTCACTTAAAATGCCACGTAAGCTACGTAAGAATATACGTAAGAGGAAGGGAGCATTGAAACATCCAATAGTAAAACTGACACCACAACAACAGTTGCAACAACAAATGCTGAATGACCCCACTATGTTGCAACAAATGTCAAGCAACCCTATGCTTTTAAACCGAGTTATTGGTGCACAGAGTGGAGGTTTAAGAGCGGCACTTTTAGCGAAAATGGCAGGCTATGGTGGAGCTGCAGACGGAACAGCTTATAACCCTCAAAGTCAAATGAATTTGAGTTCACTCAAAAATCAAATAACAGATGTCAAAAAGTCAAACATAGACATACAGAAACAAATAAGTGAAAACGAAAAGAAACTAGAATATGACAGACACACAAAGAAACTCAATGAGTTAAACGTAGAGAAAAAGAAGAAAGAAGAACAACTGAAAGAACTAAGTACAGAGGAATATGCGAAAAAAGTGTCAGAAAAAGCAGCAGAAGTAGCAAAAATGGAACAAGATGTTATAAATTTGAAAAACCATACTACTCAATATAAAGTACTGAAAGATGAAGAAATAAAACAAAAAGCCCTGAAGACATATATGGATAGCGATGAGTATAAAAAAGAAGTTGAAGCAAATGTAAAGGCAGAAAAACTTTTACAGTTGCAAAACCAAACCGTACAGTATGAAAACTTAGCACAAGAAAGTAAAAATAACGACGCAGCCATGCAAAAGGCAATGAAAAGCGCAGAATATATAAAAGCTAATAATGACTGGTTAGACGCCCAAGCCAACGCTAAAGCAGCCCAACTTATAGGGTCAATAAGGACAAAAATACAAGCGGATGAAGACAGTTCAAATGAAGCTTTAACGAATGCTGACTTTAAGAACGCCTTCGAAGCTCTTCATAGTAAGGTGAAACTAGTGAACGACTTCTCATCTGGAAAGAAACTGAAGTCTGAAGGTTTCGACAAAGAGTTAAAAGAAGTAGCACAAAATATGACGAAAATAACAGATGCAGCAACGAGACAGGCAGTTCAAAGTGCCCATGACGCCGTTAGAACAGCTGTTGTGGAAAGTCAAGAAAAAGAGTTACAACAGACCAAAAGAGACCTAGTAAATGCTTTCTTAAGAACGAAAAGTCAGGTAGGACATTATGCTGCAGATGGAACATATGTGCCAGCTGGTGGAACTTATATACCAGCTGGTGGAACTTATATACTAGCTAGTGGAACTTATATACCACCAAACCCTCCAAGAGAAGCACCTGCACCAGGACTACCTAAAACATTTACATCGTCACATGGACACAGACACAGGCATGCACCAAAACCAACACAACAACCAACAGTTCAAAATCCAGCACCACAACAACAACAACAACCAGCACAACAACCACCTCCACAACCAGCACAGCAACCAACAGTTCAAAACCCTGCACAACAACCACCTCCACAACCAGCACAGCAACCAACAGTTCAAAACCCTGCACAACAACCACCTCCACAACCAGCACAACAACCACAAACAGAGCAAGGACATAAAAGAAGTAGAGAACAAGGAAACCAAGATTTCTTAAAAATGCTTAAGGAAGAATATGGTTACCCAGATACTCTTGACTTTAGTGACAGATATAAAGAAGCTATTAGAAAGTTCAAGGAAGGAAATACAGACCCGAACCTATTTAGCTTTATGGTTCAGCACCAAATGGGATATAATTTCAAACCTGGAAAATACAAGCTCGCTAAGGGATATGATTTAATAGCATATCATCCAAATGACATGAACGAATTTACTCCGAGATATTTGGTGTCAGAGCTAAATGACAATTCAACTCTCTTCATGAAACGCGTAAAAAATAGAGACGGAACGAAAGAAGAAAGGTTTATGAGTCCGGATGACTTAGATAGGGAACTTTTTAAAAACGGTCTCGGAATATATGAAATGCCAGCAGATGAGGTACAAGAAACTCAACAGGAAGAAGTTCAGATACAACCAGACATGGAAGAAATAGTTCAGCAACAACAGCTAGAAGAGCCTGAAGGAAACGAACAAGTCCCTCCTTTGGAAACTAACCTCACAGAACTAGATGAAGATTTGGAACAGCCGAAAAATCTTGACCCTCAACAAGAGTATGAGGTGAATATGGAATCTTTCCAAGAGTCTAAAAAAAATTCGGCTGACATAGTAGAAGAATAACTTTACTGTCATAAGTCCCTTATCTACCTTATTTTCAAGGCTAACGTTTAAGTCTGTTATTTCAGATATAGAATGTATATGAGTCTTTTTAGAATATTCGTTTTCAGCTCTTGTCACTTCACTTGACATTTTATTGTCAACATATGTTTTGTCTGCTAGTTCAGGATGAGTATGTTCTTTGTTGCATAAGCATTGTTAGCTCTTTCTTCTTCTTTTGCTATTGCATCGTCTACATATTCTTTGTCAGCTTTGTTGTCAACATCTGCTTTCAAAAGAAGTTCATTTATAGGTTTCTCGTTTAAAGTTCCTTTTGTTGGATTTATACAGACAGTATTGTTCTTCTTGTCTTGAAATAGAAACTCATCTGTCATTGGGTTTAATGTCAGTTTTAAGTTTCCTTCTTTCAATGACTCAGATATCTTAGAATAGTTTGAAAAGTTTGTTGTGTCTTTATTTAGAGCTTGCATAATGAGTTGTCGGTTGTGTTGTATTTCTCTCATGGAAGCAATATCTTTCGACATTTTTATTCTAGATAAAATATGCTTTCAATAGAAAAAGAAAATTCAAGAGTTGCTACAACTAAACCATTAGATGAACTTTTTACTAATGTCGTCAAAAGTTGAGACAGAGACCGTAAAGCATGAAGGCTATCGTTTTGACTACCCATTAAGATGGCTAAGAGACCCATCTGTCACAAAAGCTATTGGCTTTCGTAGAATGAAGTTCATTTCAGAAGCCATACATGGTTTCCCATTTACGGTCGGTTTTGAAGTTCGATACTATAACAAAGAAAAACGTATGTATGAGAAATTTGAACAGGGAAAACTTTTACAAGTTAGTTTGCTTGTAAACTTAGAAACAACTCTTCAAGCTTTTCAAGAAAAAATAAACGATATCTATATCGAATATGCAAACCAGTATAACATTGACGAGGGAGAGTACCATCTCGATATTATTTATGACAGAAAAATGCAACTGTTAAAATCAATAGAATAGAAGACCTTGGAGAAAACGTTTATATTTCTACAAAAATATAAACAACTTGGCATGGTATAGATTTATGAGGATGTTAAATCAGCCTGCAGCATATCCAGTACACCCAGACTTTTATGAAGTCGAAAACCCTAATGGAACATATGAAAATATTTTCGACCCAGCTGCTATTATTGTTCATGCTTCATTTTCTGGCGCCCAAAACTCTTTCTTATGCTTGGCAAATGACTTTTACGAAAAACCTACAAAGTTATACGAACCACCAAGTGGAAGTATTTCAGACTTTCAAGTATGGTTTACTACAATGGAAGAAAAAGAATAATTCCATTATACCATGCGTTTTACTTAGAACTTAGTTTCATATACAACTACTATCGAACGGTAAAAATATAATTTTTTAATACGGTTGAGGTGTTGGATTTGGTTGCCAACTAGACTGTGGTGCAGGTTCAGGCTGTTGTATAACAGGAGCTTGCTCTTCTGGTTCAGGGTCTTTAGGTATAATACACAACAACTGACCTACCCTTTTACCAATATTTTTGACACCGTTCCAAATTCCTCTTCCTACGGTTTTTATTCCATTCCATATACCTCTTCCAACATTTCGAAAGAAGTTTCCTATCTTACTGAAGAAACCCATTTTACTATATGTAAAAATCTA